TGCAGCGCCCGTAATTGCCCCGGGGGAGCCCGTTTTAGCGGTGACACTCAGGGGTTAAAAATTGTCACCATCGTGCACCCCATTGGACCCAGCATCTGTTGTTTGATTTATGAATGAATAGCACGCTCCCTCCCTGCATGCTGCTCTCAGATCCCCTTCCCTTAACTACAAAATAGATCCAGACACCCGCATGGCCCTACTGCGCGCCGTGCTCCTGAGAGGTCTGAGGCAGAGTTTGCGATGAATTTTTAATAGAAAGCTTCCTATAAGCCTCTGCGCTCGCTTCCTTGCCGTCGAAACGAGCGGCTCTGCCGCTAAATAGCAGCTCAAATGAATTACAAACTGCAGAGGAGCCTGTAAGGGAAGTAATCCCAGCGAGTCATGATTTAAAGAGCCGCTGACCTCCCTGCGATGTGAACAGTAGCTTTTAAGTATTTGAAAGGAGGCCCATGCAAATCCTGGGTCTTATACACTATTAACCTCCTCTGGAGCGCAGGGAGGGTGGCGGAGGAATAATCCCCACATGTCGATGCCTCCTGGTTTGTGGAGGACACGAGCAGTGTGAGGTTTGCGCCCTGTTTGAGACTCTGAATGCTGCTGTGCTGAAAAGGATAATTTAAATGAAAGACGTTTGCCGCGAGGGCACGGTGCCACAGGTCCCCGTAGCCCTGGGATGGCTTCGCTCGCTTGAACACCTCTCTGCAGAAGCAGCCACTGGGTTGCTTTGCTGGGCTCTGTGCCTCCGGGGGTCACCAGCCAGTTTGGGGTTGGGGGGAGCCCAGTTTGTCCCTGCCCTGTGGTTTTGGTCTTGTTTTATATCGCTGCAAGTGGGCGACCGGCTTTGCACCCATGCGGCAGAGAAGTGCAGGGCCAGGCGATGGGTTCTGGGGGTGAGTCTGCATCCCCTCGACCTGAAGTCAAGAACAAGTCCGGGCACAGAAGGTGCCGGAGAGAGCGGCTTTTGGGGAGGGAGCAGGACGTGGTACCCTGCACACCCGGGAACACATTGGTGACCGACTCAGGGTGCTTTGGGGCGATTCTGAAGACACCAAAGTGATGTAATTAGGTGTCCTTTCCAACAGAATAAAAAGGGATTAGAGAAATTTGTGAATGGCAGGGCTGTGAGCGGACGCTGGACGGATAAAGCAACCAAACTGGGAAAGGCTGGGAATATAAAGCTGGAAATAAGCATCGTGCTGCAAGGAGGTAACTGGGTCCTGCTGGGACCAAGCCCAAAATCACCCGATGGGGGGGGAGTTGGGTCGGGGCAGGCAGCCACGACGGGGGTCACCCTCCCTGCACGGCTCCGGAGGCGCAGCTCCCGGGGGAAAGGGGGTGACGGGGTGACACCCCCGGGGCTGCGCAGGCAGGTGGCGGGGGGAAAAGGCGGGGTGAC